TAATTTGAGGTCATAATGTTGAGGGATATAGATCAGATACACAAGCTTGAACACTGCATGGTTTGCTTCTAAGAAATGTTTATTTAGATAAAAGGGAGAAAAGAAAAAAATTTATTGTTTTCTAAGAATATCTCTGTTGACTGTTTCTTATTTATTCATTATGTTTTGAGAGATCACTTTGCATGATTCCATTACTTTGGATATATTAAGATCTTTATTGGTGCTATGGTCATGGTCAATTTTGCATAAAAAAGGTAAACCATTACCAGAATAGTAAAATCTATGAAAATACAAAATGAGTGGTTTCTTACATTTAGATGACAGGCATTCAGTGTTGATACTACTAGGTAGACTGTCATTTTGGGGGATAAATACGATAATCTAAGTTTGACTGAAGTCATTGTTGTGCACCATTGTGAGCACAACTTATATTCTAAGATTCTAAACAGTTTGATGAAATAATTTTATTTCAGTCAAGCTGTTACTTTATCAAAATTGAAAGAAAAACCAAAGAATTCTTTAGCCATGTATGAACACTCAAAGTTATTTATCTGTCTTAGTTACTTTTTACTTGTCGCTGGGACAAAATACCTGATGCACCAAGTTGGGAAAGGAAAGTTAATTTCTTACAGTTTTTGGAAGGGTCAGTCCATACTCAGTTGGCTCCAAAGCAGGGTGGCATGGAGGGGATGCAATTCATGGTGGCTACAAACAGCAATGCAGAAACCAGCAAAAGAAGTAGACACATCTTCTTCCTGCCTTACACTGTATGCTAGATCCACCCCTATGTGAGTATAGCACTGATACCATCAATCCAAGCTCTACACAATGAACCAATCACAAATGCATAATGTCAACCCATGAGGTTGGGGACCACCCACATAAAATATGACAGTATCTATTTCAGGTATTTAATAATTTTGAAGAAGGTCAATAAATTCACTTAATTTTCAGAGAATATTTTTCTAAAGAATGAAAAGTAAGTTGAAATTTGTCTAAACTAGTGAACATAGTCCCATTTTTCTCAAAATAATATTCATACATTCTTGTTTTTCTCTCAGTGATTATGTGTAAAATTTTAATTAAAGAAAATCATTATCCCCCACGCAGTCACCACCAAATGGCCCATGGCTGCCTGTGTTCTTTCTTGCCAGCTGAAGGGGGGGGGGGTCAGAGCACTTTTTATCCAATGAGGGAGCTTTGCTGTGTTGTTCAGAGACTGATAGGGCCCTGCCAAGTGTACTACATCATTGCTGGACTCACAAGAGGGCCCCTCTTGTCTTCATTGGGCCCCAGTCAGTGACCTTTCATGGTCTATGACCAGCTGCATTCTGCCTTGTGAGTCTAAAAGTCATGTGGTGATTTCCACCACAAGAGAAAGCTTTGGCATCTAGCTATGGGACTGCTAGGGCCCTGCTCAGTATTATACATGACTAGAGTACACACTGGAAGGTCCCTCTGGCCGTATCTGAGCACCATCCAGTGACCCCTGAATGGCCTACAGCAACCTGTGTTTCCAATCATGACCATAACAATGCACGCTGATTTCCATCCCATAGGGGAGCTTTAGCACATCACTTCGAGACTAGTAAGGCTCTGTCCAGTGTCACACATCACCGGAGGACAGATCAGAAGTTGCCTTTGGGCCTTTTTGTGCCACACACAGCAACTCCCTTTCTTTATTTACTTTTTGGTACTGGGGATCAAAATTATGACTGTGTTTGCAAGTCAGATGCTTACACCAGTGAGCTATATTTCCAGCCCCTTTAATTATTCTTTCAAAGAACAAAATCTTCGATTCATTTATTCTTTGTATTGTTTTCTTAATCTCTATTACATTTATTTCTGCTCTGATCTTTATCATTTCCTCCCTTCTTTTGGCTCTGGGCTTGACTTGCTCTTCTTTTTCTACATGTTTAATGTGTAGCATCAGGTTGTTTATTTTTGTTCACTCTGTTTTCCTGATGTGGGAATTCATCGCAATAAATTTTCCTCTGAAGACTGCTTTCATTGCATTCCACTGGTTCAGGTATTTTCATTTGCTTGTAGATATTGCTTAATTTATTTTTTAATTTTCTTCTTGACTAAAGTCAAAATGGATCAAAGATCTAAATATTAAAACAGAAACACTAAATCTTTTGGAATAGAGGTAAAAATCTTGAAGGCATAGAGGTAGGCAGAAAATTCATGAACAAAAATCAAACTGCTTTAGAAACACTTCCCAATATCAATAAATGGGATCATGTCTTATATGAAGTTTTGCATCTCTCAAGAAATCTCCAGCATATTGAAAAGAAAATCCACAAATTGGGAAAAAAATTATTAGTCAAGTGTCCCTTAGAAAAAGGATTTTTGTCTAGAACATGTAAAGAATTTAAAAAATCAGACCCCTGAAATTCAAAGACTCAATCCAAAAATGGCCATCTGAATTAAAAAATAGCGATATATTAGAGCCATCTGAATTGGCCATCTGAAATGGCCATCTGAATTAAAAAATAGCGATATATTAGAGCTCTAATAGATATATTAGAGCAACATTTTTGTTTTCCTATTAGCCTGATTTGAACCCCAGTATTGCTCTCCCCATCTTTTTCTGTCTAATTATACTATATTCTGTTTTATTTGATAGTATCAAGTTTGAGGGTATAGGCAACCACTTTGAAGGCAATAAGATATACTATGATGCCCATTATGGTTTGACTATTATTTTCTTTTGAAGTCCTGTAAGGTCTCCAGTGTAGGTTTTATTGGTCTTGTTCTATACTGTTTAGATCAATTCTATTATACCTGATGATATAGGCAACTCAATTTAAAAATAGCAAGAGGCACAATGGTAACCAGGTCTGATCACCTAGTATTCTATTTTTGCATCATGTATTATGCCCATCCTTCTGTTCTAACTGACTCTGTTTTGCTTAGTCACGTTTGGTTTTATTCTCTTCAAAAAAAGTAATAAGAACTGTGGGAGTAATAAAACACAAAAAGTGTAATTGTTATTGTAAAAAAGAGAGGAAAGGAAGGTGGACTAAGGGATATAACAGCAGGTATGTTTGAGTGTGTAGGATGGAAAACCATATTACTTGAGCTTTTGTTGGATTATTGAATGGAACTGTCTCCAATATCACTGTATGAATGTCTACTTTACATGCTTTAATTTTATAATTTGGACAACTGTTTCTAAGAAGACAATATGTAACCTATTAACTAGTGATTTTTTCCTATATACTTTTTTCTTGAAATTCTGTATTACTTGTACTTGATTTGGTTTTTATGTCCTCTCTTTTTTCTCTTTAAATTAAAAAAATGGCTATCTGAGATGAATACACATTTCTCATATGAAGAAATAGAAATGTCTAACAAATACATGAAAAAATGCTCAGCGTCATTGGTCATAAGAGAAATGCAAATAAAACCACACTGAGATTCCATCTCACCCCAGAAAGTATTGCCAGGATCAAGAAATCTACCAACAACAAATGCTAGAGAGACTGCAAAGAAAAATGAACTGACCTGCACTGTTGTTGGGAGTGTAGACTGGTGCAACCACTATGGAAGTCAGTCTGGAGGTTTCTCAAAAAGCTATGGCTGGAAGTCCCATTTTATCCAGCTATTCTACTTCTGGGCATATTCCCAGAAGAACTGAAAACATCTTGCCACAGTGATATATGTGCACCCATGTTTATAGGAACAATTTGTAATAGCCAGATCTTCCAGACAACCTAAATGCCCATCAACTGAGGAACAAATAAAAAGGATGTGGTATTTTTATATGATGGAGTACTACCCAGCTATAAAGAAAGATCATATTGAGATATTTATAAGTAAATGGATATAACTTGAGGCCATACTCATATAGGAAATAAATCAAACTCACCTGTGGAGATACTGTGTTTTCTCCCTCCTGTAAGAAATACCATACATAAGACATAAAGTTACCATACATAAGACATAAAATCCTCAGTTAAATACAGTGAAAGGTAAGAATCTTCTCAAAGAGGAAAAAATATCTCAAAGAAAATGAGTAAAAAGAAAAAGGAAAGGAAAACAAAGGGTCTCTAAATTTGTATAAAGACACTAATATAGTTCAGATGATTGTATTACAGTCTCTACAAGTGCATGAAACAAAACAGCTAACATTCATAGGATTGGAAAAATTTGGCATGTTTGTGTCTGGTGATATGAAGAACTTTTGAAGATCACTATGTAAAATAACACCCTTATTTATCTGTCTCCCACTTTATTTGAAAGTCAATGATTTGGCTTCTGCGATTACTATTTTTCTTTTTTCTTGTCTTGGTAGTAATCTGTTTTGTTTTGTTTTTTCCTCTAATACAGTAATGATAGGTATACACATAGAGCCTTGTACATGCGAAGAACTTTTCCTAAATACTCTATGAGAATCTTTTATATTATGTGTGATGAAATGAACACCTACTTTCAAGAAAAAGACACATTATGGCATCCATTGTTGATTCCGTATCCTCATGCTGTGTATTTCACTAGTGCTTTTATTGTTTGTTCAGAGTAGTTTAAATCTCTTTTGAATTGTTTAATTTCAACATGCATGAAAGAATGCACAGCTGTTTAGAAAAGAATGAGACACAATATGTCAGGCATTATTCATTTTCTATTATCTGCTTTTGAAGGCTTGTAATGCATTTATTACATTGTTTTGATGTTTCATGCTATTTTATTTTGTATGAATTCATTGTGTGTAAAGATATAGATAACTATTTAGAAGAAATCAAGAGACATTATGGTAGCCACTATAGACCTCCTGTTCTCTTGCTTAGAAATCTATGTGACTGGGGCTGGGGATTTAGCTCAGCGGCATAAGCGCCTGCCTTGCAAGCAGGAAGTCGTGAGTTCAATCCCTGGTACCGATAAAAACGAAAAAAGACAAAAAAAAAAAAAAAAAAAAGAAATCTATGTGACTTACGTTGTTTTCTTCTGATGTTCTTTGTTCTGTTTCGTTATATTTACTTTTACACTCTTTAAAATAACAAAAGAAAATAATTATCATTTCTCTTATTTACATTGCTAGCAAAATATATTGGCTGAAAATCATTTGAAATTTATTTATATAGATAGGTATTTACTATGTTTCCAAATATTAATTATATTTCTGTGCCAAACAGCTGTTTATAAACATCTTTGTACCAAGAGTACTGGTCCTCCCTTTCTTTCCTTCTGTGGGCTGCATTGAGCAGCATACACGTGATTACTGTAGTTACGGAAAGACAAGATATGGAGAATGTTTTTGCATTATTGCTCTTTAAAGCATAGGCTTTACAAATGGCTACACAGAATACTTTCACTCTTCGTTTCATCTTCAGTTTTTTAATGTGTGTTTTGAGAAAGAAATGCATACAAAAGTAATATATATTTCTGGTTTTCATGTCTTCAATATTCTACAATCTTGAGAGGATAGATTGTATCTACAATTTTGAGATTGTAGAAATATTGGATTAGAAAACAAGGTTAAGAGGTAGAGATCCACTAGGCAGAGAAAGAAAATCTAATATTATATTCTACTGGTAAAGATGCAAACTCTCAGAACCTCAGCTGATACTCCTTTCCTGTTTTGCCTTGTTTTTTCAATTATTTCTGATTATTTGGTAACACAAAAATAATAGCTGGAGAACATTCCAGTCCACAAGTAAAAGACACTTTCATTATTCAAATTAAATCTATCATTGGGTTACAAGGATTGAGGAAGGGATCCATTTACAACAAACAAAATTTTAAAAATGTTTGAAATTTTGTAGTATATTTTTCATATTTCTCAAATGATGTGCTCTGATAAAACTCCCATGAAATTAAATACTTGCATTAACAATGTGCTGTGAAAGTGGCTAAATTCATTACATCTTCTATCTTCCGTAAGTCATTGTTTATGTCTCTAAAGCTTATCCTAACCTTCTTCTTATATATTTGCTCATATAAATGTGATTCTCCCAGAATTCACAATGTACTTTCATTAACCTCTCATGTGAAGCCATTTTCTGAATTATTCTATTTCCTCCCAACATAAATTTTCCATTTTCCTACAGTGTCCTGCGTCCCTGTGGCTTCCATACTTCACTTCAACAAATTTTCATTTTTGTTCCAAGAGAGTAATACTCATATTTGTTTAGTAAGTTGAATTCTCTCCTCTATTTTAATTATATATTTCATTTCTCTTCTTATCATTAAGTATTACCTGCCTCTGTTTTTTTCCACACACAAAAATTTCCAGCGCATTTCATTTTATTGAAACTGAAAATGTATCTGAAAATACGACAGTTTTCCAGCTTCCTGCCTTTCAAAAGTCAATATATTGTGTTTTCAGTGACTCTCATTCTTTTAAAGTTCATAATGAAATACATGTGAAAATTAAATTACAATAGTTAATAGAACACTGAAATTTGAGTTGTAGACTCATTGAACAGGATTGCAATGTATGTGTAAGTCACCAAAGCAAAGATGGTACAAACATGGATGATCATCTCTTAATGACTCTATCCATGGCAATAGAGTTAGATAAAATTTTCTCACTTGTAAAGCCAGGCATCTGAAAAGCTCTACTCTCTCTTTTTTTTCTCTCTTTTCTTGACAAACTTTTGAAAACAAAACAAACAACACTTTATGACAAAGAAAGTAATGGATGCAGTGCAAGCCAGGAGGAAGCCAATCACATCCAGAGAGTGGTACTCACACCAGGTGAGGTTCTGGGCAAGAGACTTCAAGTGTTTGGCCCCCTTGTGGTGCATGACAAACTCGATCCAGAAGACTGCTCTGTCCAGTGGCCTCATTGGTTGATCATGCGCATTACTTGATAAGCTCATAGTATTGTGTTTATAGCTCAAGGAAAATTAAACAAGTTCAGAAATATTTAGAAATGATATAATGAATATTTTTGGAGGTTCTGAATCTTTTCTAAAGGTCAAAATCAGTACTATAATTTAAAGACAAAACACAAATGCTTGCCATGTTTCATCCAACATTTGTGAGTAACCTTAGTAATGATTACAGGTTTAACAAAAAACCAGTATTGAAATTTCATGTACAGCTTAGTCATGAAAAGTGTAAAACAATGATTTTTGGAACACTGCACAAACTTTTGTGTCATTTTATGACTTATATCTCTTTTGAATTCACAGCTAAATGGCAGGTGTAAACTCTTAAAATTCATGTTTCTTCACATTTCATTGTCATTCCTCTGTGATAACTTTCATTATACTTCTTATTACATTTACAGGCTATTTCAAAACTTTACACCTTGCCCAATGCTTGGCTTAAGCTTTTATCCAATAAAAGTGATGAACATTTTATTTCTTACACTCCCCTTGGTTAGTAATGATAGATTAATCATTAAGAAAGTTCGTATTCCATTACTTTTAATTCACTCTTATTGCTACTTTCTTGGAAGTTACATAAGAATTATCGATTAGAATGATGAGGAGGATTTTAAAAGTTTGTACTTACGAAGGTTTGTTAATGATTTTCTTCAGTGCATTTAGCAAATCTGCTGTTGAAATTGTGTGGAAATCCAGTTTAATAGCTGCTCCTTTAGCCTCCATGTAAGCAATGTTATCATGTTGTTCCACAAACAGGGGAATGCCCACCATAGGGATTCCATGGTAGATTGCCTCAAAAACACGATTGGCTCCACCATGAGTTACAAAAGCTGTAGTTTTAGAATGACCTAAGGTGGGGTGAATGTCATCAATGTAATTAATCATAAATGTTAAAATGCATGTGAAATACACATTATGAGTCACTGAAAGGAGCTATTTTATACATAAAGATTTTATGTGTATGAAAATGCAATGATGTCACATTTGAGTCTCAGAATTAAACGCATCTAATCCACTGGAAAAGTAAATGAATGTTACCTAGCAGACACAGTAAATGTCTTTATCAGTGAATAAATGATCATCTTGAAGAATCGTATGTTCATTAAAACATTCTACTACAGTTCAATAACAATTCTGACATGAAGCTTCTGCATGTCAGCAGCATACATCAGTGGACAGAAAGAGTGTGATATTGAATCATGACAAGAATATATTTTTTGCCTTAAAATGCCAATCAAAAACTAGAATTACATCATCACTGTAAATAAATCAAGATTGCTATTTTGACTGGTATTTATAAAAGCTTATTTCTGTAGAAAGACAGGATTTGATATTTTTCAAACAATGACTGAACTAAAAGAGAAGGAAAATATTAGCAGTCATTAAACATCCTTCTCCTACAGACAAGCACATCTGAAATGAGGACCTTAAAATTATTTCTAAATACACCAAAAAGCCTATTGTTACAAATGATTTTACTTCCTCTTCCATTGGAAATATGTATAATGAAGTTTGATTTTACTTTTGATTTTGTAACAACAAATGTTCCCTGGATTGTTTCTTCTTGAGCAATTATCAGCCTTTTAGTCTTAGTTTTTCAGTATTTGTTCTCCAGAATCTCACCAAGTAGGTCATTCTGGGGGATCCAATTCAGTAACTGATGTTGGCTCCTAAGGTATCTGGTTTCCTGCCATTGAATCTCCAAATCACCTGTTAGGCTACAGTTTGCATTATACCATATTTTGAGTTTTAAAAACTAGAGAGCAACAATTTAAGTGCCTTTTATAAAATAGACTTAAAATCAAAATAAGGAAACTACGTATCAGCAGCATCTAAAAGACAGATACAAATACAATACAAATATTTTCTGTATTTATTTTATATTTTAATGCTTTCAGTATAGTCATATTTTGTACATAGCAATTTAGATAAATAAGTTAAACTGTGCTAAGATGAATTACTTTAAAATTGTCAGGCTATATTAATATTTTACAATGATAAGAGAATTTTTTATTTGTAGTTACATTAGTATGCATGTTTATGATACCCTCTTTTTCTAATGTTAACTATGTCTGATTTTATATTATTGTTATAGTTTCCTAATGATCATCTGTGTCTGAATCTTTTTTATTAGCTTACATGTATGAAATATTACTTTGATGTGTAAATATCTAATTCATATAATCAACTTCTATCAGGTATTAATTAAATAGTTTGTAGAAGAGTATCTGATGTTTTTTATTAAAATTGTATTTCCTTCTTATAGAAAATGTTTACAACACATTTGTTAAAGCAATATTAATATTATATTCTACTGGTAATGATGCAAACTCTCAGAACTTCAGCTGATACTCCTTTCTTGTTTTGCCTTGTTTTTTCAATTATTTCTGATTATTTGGTAAAACAAAAATAATAGCTGGAGAACATTCCAGTCCACAAGTAAAAGACACTTTCATTATTCAAATTAAATCTATCATTGGGTTACAAGGATTGAGGAAGGGATCCATTTACAACAAACAAAATTTTAAAAATGTTTGAAATTTTGTAGTATATTTTTCATATTTCTCAAATGATGTGCTCTGATAAAACTCCCATGAAATTAAATACTTGCATTAACAATGTACTGTGAAAGTGGCTAAATTCATTACATCTTCTATCTTCCGTAAGTCATTGTTTATGTCTCTAAAGCTTATCCTAACCTTCTTCTTATATATTTGCTCATATAAATGTGATTCTCCCAGAATTCACAATGTACTTTCATTAACCTCTCATGTGAGGCCATTTTCTGAATTATTCTATTTCCTCCCAACATAAATTTTCCATTTTCCTACAGTGTCCTGCGTCCCTGTGGCTTCCATACTTCACTTCAACAAATTTTCATTTTTGTTCCAAGAGAGTAATACTCATATTTGTTTAGTAAGTTGAATTCTCTCCTCTATTTTAATTATATATTTCATTTCTCTTCTTATCATTAAGTATTACCTGCCTCTGATTTTTTTCCACACACAAAAATTTCCAGCGCATTTCATTTTATTGAAACTGAAAATGTATCTGAAAATATGACAGTTTTCCAGCTTCCTGCCTTTCAAAAGTCAATATATTGTGTTTTCAGTGACTCTCATTCTTTTAAAGTTCATAATGAAATACATGTGAAAGTTAAATTACAATAGTTAATAGAACACTGAAATTTGAGTTGTAGACTCCTTGAACAGGATTGCAATGTATGTGTAAGTCACCAAAGAAAAGATGGTACAAACATGGATGATCATCTCTTAATGACTCTATCCATGGCAATAGAGTTAGATAAAGTTTTCTCACTTGTAAAGCCAGGCATCTGAAAAGCTCTACTATCTCTTTTTTTCTCTCTCTTTTCTTGACAAACTTTTGAAAACAAAACAAACAACACTTTATGACAAAGAAAGTAATGGATGCAGTGCAAGCCAGGAGGAAGCCAATCACATCCAGAGAGTGGTACTCACACCAGGTGAGGTTCTGGGCAAGAGACTTCAAGTGTTTGGCTCCCTTGTGGTGCATGACAAACTCGATCCAGAAGACTGCTCTGTCCAGTAGCCTCATTGGTTGATCATGCGCATTACTTGATAAGCTCATAGTATTGTGTTTATAGCTCAAGGAAAATTAAACAAGTTCAGAAATATTTAGAAATGATATAATGAATATTTTTGGAGGTTCTGAATCTTTTCTAAAGGTCAAAATCAGTACTATAATTTAAAGACAAAACACAAATGCTTGCCATGTTTCATCCAACATTTGTGAGTAACCTTAGTAATGATTACAGGTTTAACAAAAAACCAGTATTGAAATTTCATGTACAGCTTAGTCATGAAAAGTGTAAAACAATGATTTTTGGAACACTGCACAAACTTTTGTGTCATTTTATGACTTATATCTCTTTTGAATTCACAGCTAAATGGCAGGTGTAAACTCTTAAAATTCATGTTTCTTCACATTTCATTGTCATTCCTCTGTGATAACTTTCATTATACTTCTTATTACATTTACAGGCTATTTCAAAACTTTACACCTTGCCCAATGCTTGGCTTAAGCTTTTATCCAATAAAAGTGATGAACATTTTATTTCTTACACTCCCCTTGGTTAGTAATGATAGATTAATCATTAAGAAAGTTCGTATTCCATTACTTTTAATTCACTCTTATTGCTACTTTCTTGGAAGTTACATAAGAATTATCGATTAGAATGATGAGGAGGATTTTAAAAGTTTGTACTTACGAAGGTTTGTTAATGATTTTCTTCAGTGCATTTAGCAAATCTGCTGTTGAAATTGTGTGGAAATCCAGTTTAATAGCTGCTCCTTTAGCCTCCATGTAAGCAATGTTATCATGTTGTTCCACAAACAGAGGAATGCCCACCATAGGGATTCCATGGTAGATTGCCTCAAAAACACGATTGGCTCCACCATGAGTTACAAAAGCTGTAGTTTTAGAATGACCTAAGGTGGGGTGAATGTCATCAATGTAATTAATCATAAATGTTAAAATGCATGTGAAATACACATTATGAGTCACTGAAAGGAGCTATTTTATACATAAAGATTTTATGTGTATGAAAATGCAATGATGTCACATTTGAGTCTCAGAATTAAACGCATCTAATCCACTGGAAAAGTAAATGAATGTTACCTAGCAGACACAGTAAATGTCTTTATCAGTGAATAAATGATCATCTTGAAGAATCGTATGTGCATTAAAACATTCTATTATAGTTCAATAACAATTCTGACATAATGCTTCTGCATGTCAGCAGCATACATCAGTGGACAGAAAGAGTGTGATATTGAATCATGACAAGAATATATTTTTTGCCTTAAAATGCCAATCAAAAACTAGAATTACATCATCACTGTAAATAAATCAAGATTGCTATTTTGACTGGTATTTATAAAAGCTTATTTCTGTAGAAAGACAGGATTTGATATTTCTCAAGCAATGACTGAACTAAAAGAGAAGGAAAATATTAGCAGTCATTAAACATCCTTCTCCTACAGACAAGTACATCTGAAATGAGGACTTTAAAATTGTTTCTAAATATACCAAAAAGCCTATTGTTACAAATGATTTTACTTCCTCTTCCATTGGAAATATGTACAATGAAGTTTGGTTTTACTTTTGATTTTGTAACAACAAATGTTCCCTGGGTTGTTTCTTCTTGAGCAATTATCAGCCTTTTAGTCTTAGTTTTTCAGTATTTGCTCTCCAGAATCTTACCAAGTAGGTCATTCTGGGTAATCCACTTCAGTAACCGCGTGTTGGCTCCTAAGGTATCTGGTTTCTTGCCTTCAAATCTCCAAATTACCTGTTAGGGTACAGTTTGCATTATACCATATTGTGAGTTTTAAAAGCTAGAGAACAACAATTTAAGTGCCTTCTATAAAATAGATTTTTTAAAATCACAATAAGGAGACTACATATCAACAACTTCTAAAAGACAGATACAAATAGAATTCAAACATTTTCTATAGTTATTTTTTATTGTAATTGTTTGAATATAGTCATATGTTGTATATAGCAAATTAGGTAAATAAGTTAAAATGTGCTAAGAGAGTTACTTTAAAATTGTCAAGTTATATTAATATTTTACAATAATTAGAGAATTTTTTATTTGTAGTTACATTATTATGCATGTTTATGATACTGTCCTATTTTAATGTTAATTATGACTGATTTTATATTATCGTTATACTTTCCTAAAGATCACCTCTGTCTGACTCTATTTTATTAGCTAACATGCATAAAATATTACTTTGATGTGTAAATACCTAATTCATATAATCAACTTCTGTCAGGTATCAATTAAATGGTTTGTAGGAGGGCATCTGATGTTTTTTATTAAAATTTTAATTCCTTCTTATAGAAAATGTTTACAAGGCATTTGTGAAAGCAATTCATAATATTATCACTACTGAAGAACTCGAATCTATGTTATATACAAAGAAGTGGTTTGAAATCCATAAGTGATGCAATGTTTCAAAAAAGAACTTATGATTAAATTATTTTAAAATGAGTCTTCCGTTTCCCATGACACCATAGAAAATTTTCATAGCTTAACTTAATCTTCTGCTGTTATAGTCTAAGCATTTCATTACCCTGTGCTCCATTGAGGTAATAGTTTTAGTAATTCCATGATGTTTGCCTAAACTGGAGAACCATTCCTGTTACTGTGGAAATGTTAAATGTAACTTCACATTCCAGGACAAAATTTGGCATAGGAGACTACAAAGCTTATGCCCCTGACACTAACTAAAATCTGCTCTAGTTCATAGCTACTCAAAGACTGAACATGTATTAGATATGAGAGAAACATTTTCCCCATTATATGCTATGGAGAGGGTAACTGTGTAATTTCCCTAGAAAGGTTTCTTTCAGTTTGTCACTCACCTTCATTTTTGGTTTCTTGATTAGAAGGACATTAACCTGGTGTGAAAAAGTCAGAGTCTTTGGGGAAAATGTTTTGTAATATATAGGTACCACTATAAGGGAAGAAGTCATCCCCAAACTTATATCAACATCTTCCTGCTTTAGATGTTGTCAAGAATCTCTCAGATTAGGTTTTCTTCTTTTGTAATTAACATGACTGAATGCATGTATGGATCCTGAATTGGCCACTCTTGTTTTTATCTGCTCTAATACCCCACTTAATAGTACAATAGAGAAATGTATTCCATAATTCGTATGAATTAAAGAAGATTATACAAAAATCCTAAATTATACGATTTATTTCAAGTCTTTTTCAATACCTGTTTCATGTTACTAAGATAGCACAATTTTCAGTAAAGTCTAACTCTTTTCATAACATTGCTTGTGTATACAGTGACCTCAACAATCCCACAGGAAAAAAAGGGCAAGTTTCTGAAATAAAATCTTTGCAGTGTTTCATGATTTCTTTCCTGGATGCTGCCATCCAGACACTTTGCCACCCTTTTGTGGAATCTGTCCAAGGGCTGAAGCGATAGCATTGGCTGTTGTTTCTGACATGTCACGGATTATGGACCCCAAGGAAAACACCACAATGCCATGGTCTCCAGAGCTCTGCACGAAGTTTTCCATTTCCTGGGAAGAAAAAATTGGCTCCATCGGGGGAAAAAAAAAACACACACACAGCAGACACTATTGAAAAAAGTGTAATAAAAAATGAAATTGAAACAGGCAAGAATGAATGCCAAGTATAGTATGGTAAAAAATTTTTAAGAAAATGTTCACCACCCTAGAAATTCATGTGAAGAGATATACGAGGAGTAATGTTAATGATATGGTTGTGGAAAAAGTGTTTCTAACAGTCATTTCTTGAAATAAAGATTTGTATTTAATGCATATTATACAAATTTTTAAAAAGTCTTGATTTTCATCTATGTTTCTTTTTATTTGTGTGTTTATTCATTTTTTAGTAATTAGGATCAAACTCATGACCCTGTGCTTGCCAGGCAGACAGTTGTTCCACTGGGCTAAACCCCCAGGCATATGTTTCCATTTAATCTTATAAAAGCAAAGTTAATTTAAAAAAAGAATTTCCCCTTAGGTTTCATTTCACATTCTTATTATAGCTTATTTGCAGTTACTGAAGGATACTTTGATGCCACAACTATAAGAGCTGTGATACACACATACAAATATTATTTGTTCTGAAATTTTCTTAGGGCTGATATGAGTGTCTCTTTTGTAAAACAATTATGATGGTGCAATAAGGACACATTTTTTATTTTTAGCTATGACCTATATTTAGATGTTACAGATTTTTCTGAGGTTTTTTTATAAATAAATATTAAATAGAATGGTTTTTTCATGTGGATTATTTTTCTTCACATACTTTCCAATGAGTATCTCATTTGGCAAAGGATATAAAATGTTAAGACTTGATGCAAGATTCTGAATTTCTATATTGTGCATGTAATAACAGCTATTGTTAGTTATTTTTTCAGAGTGGTGTTTCCAGTGGTCTTTTGTGTTTTTTCTCTGCTTTTTCTATTTTCTGTTGCTCCTTACTTTGTTATATTTTTATTCAGAAAATATTCTATGTTATATATATGTACTGCTTAGTATATGCGACGATAATGCTTAAAATGTTTGAATTCTAGATTTCTTGCACTTTCTAAATGAATTGAATATAAATGAATATTGGGTTTTTTCCCATTTTTTTAGTTTCCATTTTCAATTTCTGTCAAAATAAAAGTAAAAAAGAGAATTTCTTGAAGGTCATAATCCTGGAGCAATAAAGGTAGCTTCAGTTCTATATATATCTTCCAATTATAATATCAATTTAAAGTATGTTAGATTTTTGGGTCCTTTCATAGGAATGTTACCTTCTACAACACCACAGTGCATGATCACATTAACATGACTTGCAGAGAAATTATTGAAATTATCAGTTGCTTAATTCACACACTGTTAAATTTTCTCTGTCAGGTTATGCTCACACCATGATCATATCAGAAAAGGAAACTTTACTCAGGTATCCTCCTGCCTTAGCAAACGATATTAAATATATGTTTCAACAACGTACTTCAGTCCTTTTGTGTCCTAAGCTGTAAAATTCTAATATTCAAAGGAAAAATGGCTTTGAATCTGTGTTCAAGTCAAGGCAATCTGCAGTTTCTCAGAAATTGTTGCTGTGGGTGCAGAAACACTCCTTGGTTCAATGAAGTGTTCTTTTTGTTTTTGTATTTTTGTAATCTAAAATACTAATAAAGAGCTTTGAAAGTTTATATAATATATTCTCATTTTACCTTGTTCATATAATTGCATGAACCTAGGCATTTATTTTATACAAGTATATAGAATTGTTTTTTATTGTGTCTTTACTTGAGATTATTATCTTAAACAGTTGGAATGTGAGATTCCATTTAGTGAAATTATATATCAAATACTTCTTAGAGGCTGAGGACATAGCTCAGTAGCACAGTGCCTGTCTGCCAAAGGCAAAGTAATGAATTTGATCCCAAGTATGAAAATAAATAAATAAATTTAGAAATTCTCAAATCAATTTAGTATCAAAAACAATAACATCCATTGTCTCCCCATCCTCCATTAATGTGAACCATTGAACATTCTTGCAAATGTTTTTAATTTTCTTCCCACAGAAATAAATACGGGCCATGTTGGAACTCAAGGAGCTGAGAAGCAAAGAAATCTACTTGCCTCCCTGGTTAACAGCCATGGCTCAGGCAAGTGGCAGCCTAACGACGGAGAGAACCAGCCGGTGTCTCAGGAGCTCCAGACCATGGTGGAACTTAAGGTGCTCAGAAACTAAGCAACCCACTTGCCTCCCTGCTAACCAGCTGTGGCTTGGGCAAGCAGTGACCTCCCCCGAGAAAGAATCAACCAACATCTCCCGAGATCCATGCCATGTTGAAACGTAGGGTGCTAGGGAACCTAGCAGACCACTTGCCTCTCTGGTAAACAGTCATGAGTCTACTGGTGCACGGGCTGAGAATCAAATCTCCTCCACAACACCACATACCCCTTTTAGCAAATGGGAGCCAGAGGTCTGTGTGCCTCTTGGGAGGTTGAGTATATGCGATATACCAAATAGCAGGATTTCCTTCCACTGTCTCTTTGAAGGCAAATATTGTTTTCACTGTTTTGCATTGTTCTGATTAATTATATTGCTCTATTAAATATTTTTGACAATTTCTATAATGTGCTGTATTTGATTTGATTTTGCTATACCTGACTGAAAGAACAACTATTTTTTAGATAATGAGATATACTACAGTACCTATAACTATTATCCCAGGAACCTGATGTGACATTTTGTACCAATTTCACTGCACTGTCTCGATTGACTTTGTTCTGTCTTTTCTGTTGTTCTACCTTCAAAAAAAAAAAAAAAAAACTAAATATGAAGTTGCACTTCCATTTAGATGAATACATATGTCTGCATTTCATTTAAGAGTTTACTGAACTCTTACACCTACCTTCTGAGTGCTTCCCATTTCTAGTCTTATGAATCTCTGCAATCTAATCCATTGATGACATCTTCATAGATATTTTTAAAAATCTGATTATCTTTCCCTAGTTCAAAGTTTTCCTTTGTCACCAATGCTTCTGTTAGATAGTTTTTTACTCTCTTATCTGGCTGTACACTAGCTACCTAGCAAATTTACTATCTTGATGAAATAAGCTTACAGTTCTTGAGATATCTTTCTATTTTAACAGCTGTCATATTTTATATCTTTTTTGACTTCTCATAAATTGGCTTGTTCCTGAACCTTTTAACTTTTATTATTATCAATTTTCATGGCATAGATTATGATCACAACTGAAAGTTTTCTTATTATTAGAGTGTTCTCATAAATTAATATCCACATACTCCTTATTATTTGTTTTATTTCTCCATATAGTATAAAAGATATTGTCTGTGTTGTGTCTATGCTTATCAAATTTTAACGATGGTGAACAGTATTCAAAGAATATATTTTGAAGAAACAAAGTTGATAAAATGAAAAATGAAGACCACAATTTAACAGACTCTTTTCTGAATACTTCCTAGGTATTCCATTATTTTTGTGATGGTAATGAAGTTCAGATACTTGTGATGAAATCAAATGCAATATTCTGAACAAAGACTTTCTATGCAACCTCAAATCTGCTACTTAGCCTAGTCGTGCTTAAACTGGTGGTTCTCCTGCCTAAACTTCTATAGATCTAGTGTTATAGGTTATTCATACCATACCCACCTGCTGTTTGAGCTCCTCTTTAGCAATTGACTTTTGCCATTTCTCATATCATTCTCAACAAGAGTTGAGACTCACAAAGAACAGTACATAGCATTCTCACTGAAAATTAAAATAAAAACTTAGACAGGATTATACTTACCTTAGTTAGCACTTTGGCAGGTTTACAGTGGAGTCCTCCAACAAACTCAAAATTTGGTAGGGTTGGACAAGGAAATTCCAAGTCCCAGAAGCTTCGAAAAAGGCACATGTCTGCTTTCTGCATTTATTCATATAATGTAGTAGGGTTTCCTGGTTTTGAAAGAATAAAAACGTAGAAAAAATAAAAATTCTTTAACAAAATAGAATTGTGGATGAATAATATTTTTTTTTATATTTTGTGTATGGCTCAATTGTGTCTGCAAGAAACACAGAATAAAAAGAAAATACTTCTGTAATATTTCCTCAGTGCATTCTCAATCAGAATCTTACTTACAATACTACATAATACAATACTACATAATACAATCTACATAATACTACATAATACAGTCTTACAATACTACATAATAAAGCATGCATTCTTCTTTCTCTAATGCTGCCAAAATAATAGACACAAATATCAACAAATATTCTGCCTGGAAATTCAAGTATTCCTATCCCAACTATGAAATTTTTTAAAGACATTCTGCATTTATTGAATTCTAACATGATACCACATGAGCCCTGACTGCTTTAATGTTATGGCTGCAATTCTTTTTTTTTTTTTTTATTTAAAGAGAAAAACAAAACTAAATGAAGCAAAGCAGTAAAAGGCTAGAAGTAATACACAATTTCAAGAGAAAAAATATACAGTAAGAATTCACCAGTTAATAGATCACCCATTGTCATCTTAGAAACAGTTGTCCAGATTACAAAATTAAAGCATACAAAGTGGACATTAATACAGTGAGATTGCAGTCTGTTCTGTTCAATGATCCAAGAAAAACTCAGCAATATGGTTCTCTATCCTACACATTTAAATATACTTGCAGTTATATCCTTTAGATCACTTTCCTTCCTCTCTTTTTTACACTAAAAACAACACATTTTGGTTTCCATTACTCCCACAGTTCTTATGACTTTTTCTTCGAAGAGGAAAAGAAAAAAGTAAAAAAAAAAAATACCCAAAAAAACAAAACAAACAAAACAAGACAGACCAAAGAAAAACCCAATGTGACAAAGCAAAACATAGTCAGTTAGAACAAGAGGATGGACATAGTATATAATCAAAAAAAAAAAAAAAAAAAAGATTACTAGGTGATCAACAATGGTTACCATTATGCCTCATGTTATCCTAAAAAGAGTTGTGTATATCAGCTGGTATAAAAGAATTGAACAAAACAGTACAGAAGCCCAATAAATCCCACATTGGAGAGCTTACAGGACTTCCAAAGAAGGTAATAGTCAAACCACAACGGGCATCGAAGAATATCTGTTTGCCTTCCAAATGGTTGCCTATACCCTCAAACTTGATACTATTAAGCAAAACAGAATATAATAAAATCAGTCAGAACAAGATGTGGAGAACAACACAGGGGTTCAAATCAGGTTAATAGGGAAACAAAAAAGTTACTATAATCTATTGCATTATTTTTAATTTAGTTTTCCTTTAGTTAAAAGATACTAAGAAATAAATTAATTTTAAAAAAGGAAAGAAAAAGGGGGGAGATTGAGATAAAAAAACATATCAATCGAACACCAGTCAGAACTGAAAAATTTAAGCATCATTATGTTTCACCACCAGGTAGCCTGACATTAATAGTAGTTACCATAGTGACTCTTTCCTTGAAATATTTGAGTCTAACTTCGTATACTATAGCATCAAACTTATCAAGACAGTTTGAAACTGTTCAAGAGAATGAAATTATTACAGGGTATTTAGAACCAGGCAACAGAAACTGAACATCAGTTTCTATATTATCTCATGGCTTATAAAAAATTTGCTTATACTATTGCATACATTAAAATATAATAAGATACAACATGTTAGAACCAATGGAAACAAATGAACAACAACTTGATGGGGCTTCAAAACAGGATGATATTAAATCAGCACTAGATATTACGCTCTTATTTTCTTCAAAATAGTTATTTGTAGTACCACAGACAATAAAATAAAACAACCCAGATTAAAACCATTCCAATTAATGAGTTCATTGAGGTGGTTTTTACAACTTTCAATGGAGTTTTTGATTTCCTGTATATCTCTTTGCATCTGTTTTATATATTGTTTGTTTCTTATATTGTTCATCCAGAGTTTCTTTTTGTTTAGTTCCTCCATTTTTTAACTGTGTCTTCTTTAGATATGTTCAGCATTTCCTTCATTTCTTTTATTATTTCTTCTTTTACCTGATAGATTATTTCTAGTTTGAATTCCTTTAAAGCTTCCTTTAAAGTTGCTTCTTTATTTCGGTTACTATTATTTCAGGTATTTCAGGTATATGGCATGCATTTTCTTCTATGTACATGGCTCCTAGGCTTTCTTGGGACGGGTTGGATGTTTGAGATTGCATTTTGTTTGGAAATCCTACTTGTATCAGCTACAACAGGAAGCCCCTCATCCTCAGACGATTACCTGTACTTGTGAGGTAGAAAACAGACCAAAGTATTATGGAAGAGAGTTTCAAAGCATGATCTCTGGAGAAGTAGCTGACCAGCTCTTGAGTGTGGCTGAGGGGAGTTACCTCATTGGGGAGAGATGGAGGCAGCCAGGAACCTACACTTTGGCTTTAAGATTTGGAAGTCAAACCAGAAACTTCAGGCTCTACTACGATGGAAAGCACTTTGTTGGGGAGAAACGCTTTGAGTCCATCCACGATCTGGTGACTGATGGCTTGATTACTCTCTATATTGAAACCAAGGCAGCAGAATACATTGCCAAGATGACGATAAACCCAATTTATGAGCACATAGGATACACAACCTTAAACAGAGACCCAGCATACAAAAAAAAACATATAGGAGTCCTGAAAGAGACACATAATGAGAAAGATGCTGCAGGCCAGGATGGGGTGTCAGAGAAAACGTTGACATCACTTGTTAGAAGAGCAAATCTGAAAGAAAATAAACAAATTCCAAAATATGAAAAGGTTCACAATTTCAAGGTCCATACATTCCGAGGGCCACACTGGTGTGAATACTGTGCCAACTTCATGTGGGGGTCTCACCGCTCAGGAAGTGAAATGTGCAGACTGTGGTTTGAATGTTCATAAGCAGTGTTCCAAGATGATCCCCAATGACTGCAAGCCAGACTTGAAGCATGTGAAGAACGTGTACAGCTACGACCTCACGACACTCATGAAAGCGCACATCACTAAGCGGCCCATGGTGGTGGACATATGCGTCAGGGAGATTGAGTCTAGAGGTCTTAATTCTGAAGGACTATACCGAGTATCAGGATTCAGTGACCTAACTGAAGATGTCAAGACGGCCTTTGATGGAGATGGTGAGAAAGCAGATATTTCTGTGAACATGTATGAAGATATCAACATTATCACTGGTGCGCTTAAGCTGTACTTCAGGGATCTGTCAATTCCACTCACTACATATGAGGCCTACCCTAAGTTCATCGAGTCTGCCAAAATTATGGATCCTGATGAGCAATTGGAAACCCTTCATGAAGTGCTGAAACTACTGCCGCCTGCTCACTGCGAGACCCTGCTGTACCTCATGGCGCATCTAAAGAGAGTGACTCTCCACGAAAAGGAGAATCTCATGAATGCAGAGAACCTTGGAATCGTCTTCGGTCCGACCCTCATGAGGTCCCCAGAACAAGACGTGATGGCTGCTTTGAATGATATACGATATCAGAGACTGGTGGTGGAGCTGCTTATCAAAAATGAACACATTTTATTTTAATTTGAGGGGGAAAGAAATGTTTTACAGATGAAGGATGTTTTATAGTAATTTAATTGGCTCCATTAGCTGAATTATCTCTTGGTTAGAGGTTTGAGCAAGTAACAGATGAAAATGAAGGAACTTTCTGTCTTTTCTGTAGCACCACTCAGCTGTCCTTGTGAAACAGTGAACACGCTTTCCAGTTCTAGTAACCCTGGTGTTTATCATGTTAAGAGAAACTCAAGCTATTGCATGATTACCCACTTGGTAAGGAAGCCCCACGAAACCAACGCAGACCTGCACCTGCTCCGCCTTCGTCCTGGGTCTTCTGTGGTTGTAACCCAGCGTGTTTCACAGAGTAAACCCGTTGCGACTTTGCTTTTGGGGTCCATGCCGTTGGTTTCTGCTTCTTGTACAAACACACGCACACACAGGATGAGCAGCACCCGACTGTTGCATTGCCACAGCCAATATCGTGTGCTGCCGTTTCACAAGCAGTTTATTTCCCGTTTCTCTCAAGCTCTTCTCTAACATAGTACTTTCTTTCCAGCAAAAGCTAAATGTGTTTTCAGATTTGTTACTTTAACAAGTTATCTCACCAATAAAATGTACAACACAGCATTTTCTGCTAAATTATTTGGGTTTTGGTTGTAATTTTATATTTTTATCTGGCATGCATCAATTAATTTATTAAATTTGGCTTTTAGAAATCAAAAAAAAGCAAAGTTTGATTCCTGTAGTGTTGTCAAAAGGCTGTTATTTGAAGCTATATCTTTACAAACATTCTCCCAAATGGAAGAATACTCCATGAACATCTCTTGCATCACAGGAATATATAAGAAACAGGTATTTATTGAGCCAATATTCATCCACTTAGAAATGAATAGTGTATAAAATTCTTCCAGTTGATCTCTCCTGAGAGATGTAGGAAATGTTTCAAATTTAAGTCCAGATGATGCATTAACACCAACAAAAATGAAGCTTGAAGGTATCAGAACGGCCACCTCATGTCCCCTCTGGATCAGTTCCTCTACTATGATCTTCATATTCATCCAGTGGCTGTATTCCATGGGCCATACCAAAACATTACCGCAGCTCCCAATGCTAAAATAACCAAAAAATTGTAGTATCCATAGAGCTGAGATCCATTTCACAGACATCTTGTTGAAATGATGTATTTCTTTTCAAATTGTGTTGCCTTTTGTTATCACTCATGTCTACATTCAAGCCTGAGTTAAAGAATAACTGGCAAGGTGAAAGTTCATATATTGAACGGACAGAGTACGGGGACTGATGACACAATACTATTGGATGGTGTCACCGATCTCTTGGTGGGCTTTTCTTTTATCAGAACCCAGACCTATGTTAAAGCAAACAGGGCAATATTTTAGGAGTCATATACTCTCAATTTTTGGTCATACACAAATCCATCCACTCAGAACCCCAGCAATAAGTGCAAGGGAATTTAGTGGACATTTAGATAGAAACCAAAATATTATCTATGCACTAATAATGATAATATTAATATAAAAATAGACCTAATTTGTGTGTTTAATACACATGAATCCTTTAAAATATGATTTGAAATTAGCATTTATTGGTTCAATTAAGCATTCTCATCATTTCCAATATTTTGTACCTAATGCTGCTAATTATCTTAATATATAGCTTCACCATCATATATAATTTTTCTCTTAATGGGAAGTTGTTTTTCATTCATTCATTATTGCATTCTTCAACACATGACACTGAGAGAAGATATTCCATAGATTCATTCACAACTGCTTGTGTAAATTTTCAATTGTATAAACTAATTTAAATGTTGAAATATAAATTATCTTGATATGTTTTAGTTAACATGTACAATTTTCAATGTAATAAGTACTTGTACTGTAGAATATTTGCACTTGAACATTTATTTATATGTCCTAAATTTTAACCATTTTCCCCTTTTGCTTTGTTTTTTCCTTTTAAAGATGATAAAACAAAGCAAATCAAAAAGAAGCAAATCAGAACATAACATTGCAAGCAGCACAGATCTTCACAACAAAACAGCAAAAAAAATCAACAGTGCTTACTATAGTGTCTCTTGTTTTGTTTAAAATAATTTAATAAGAATTCACATACAATACAGTCAAACAAAGACAAATAGTACAAAACCAATCAAAATAAAAGAATGAAAGCAACAGGAGCTTCAAAAATATACAGTAGGAAATGAACAATTACTACAATAATGTCTCTTGTTCACTTCAATATAGCTGTCCATACTCTTACAAATAATTAAATCAAATCATAGAAACCAAAGTAAAGCCAAGGAAAACTAAATAACAAAAGCATTAAAAGATTTGACTGCAAAATCAGTTAACAGGAAATGAACAACGGTAACTATAATATCTGTTTATTTTCAAAATACTTTTGCATGTCATCATCCATAATAAAATCATACAAAAATAATTATACCAACTAAACAATAGCATGAAAGCACTATAGGATTTCAAAACAAGATTACAAGAAATCAACCATGATCAAAAACACACACTCCATTTTGTTCAAAATAGCTGCCTGTATAAAGAGACAAAGTCTAGGAAAGCAAGGCAGAACATAGTGAATCCTAACATAAGCTTGAAAAATTATCATAGTTCAAAAAAGTGAATAAGAAATTAGCACTGGTTACAACCTTCTCTTACGAAGTGTTTCCTCCCATATCAGTTTCACACTATTTTGTTCTGGGATTCCACTAACTATTTTTATGCTAGTGTTCACACTTAATAGTTTAAATTATTTCACCCATGAGTATGACATCTAGTTGCATCGATTTTCCTACAAGGGTAGCTTTCCACTGTAAGAACATATCATATCTTTCTTACCCATTTTGAATTTAACTGGTAAGTTAAACTTGCTTTTCTCTGATCTCCTGTTGCATTAAATAATTGTTTCACCCCTTTGATTTCCAGCCTGTGAATTTCCTTTCAAGTTAAATGTATTTCTTGTATATAGTATATTTATGAATCTTGCTTCTTGATCCACTGTCCCTGTGTTTTCTTTTATTGAGGAATTGAGGCCATCGACATTACTGGTTAAAGCCAGCATACACTGTTCATCTCTTTACATGTGATCTTTTTCTTTTCTCTCACAGCTTTTAATGTTCTGTTAATGTGCTCAATTTCTGGGATCTTGATTATTATATGTCTCAGTGTAGATTTACTTTGGTTATGGCTAGTTGGAGTTCTATGTGTCTCACTTTCCTGTATGCTGTATCCATTTCCCATATCTGGCAACGTATTGAGCTATGTATGTGACTTTCACATATTGAAAGGTCTGTGGTAATGAATGTTCAGAATAAACTGAACCATTCATGAAAGATTTTTCTTTCATCTTAGAAAATATGACATGTATACATATATGTATGTATATACACACATATGGATATGAACATGGAAATTAATAGCCTATGGCAGGAGTTCAATGTTTCTTTTCCATAATGTAGGTATTTCCCGAGTTCTTTTAAGAGATGAGGTCTTTAAGAGTAATTTAATCTAAGGGGGCTCCTTCATGGATTACATCCAGTGCCCTTATAAAAGAAGGCAACATAACAACAAACCTATTCACCTTTTTCTCATGGGAGGACAGAGAGATTCTTTTCCTTAAAGGACTTTTTGTTCAAGGATCCAAGTTAGAATCAGTGGCTAAACTCTCACTGGATAATGATTATGGTTGTACACAACCTTTGAACTCCCTATCCTTTGGAGCCCTGAGAAATGTGTTATCTGTCTCAAGTATATACAAGTACATTTAGTGCAACAAGAATGAATTAAGCAAATGTGCATGCAGATATCATTCATTTCTGTTTTGAAGAGATTGTCAAAACATTTTTAACACACTTTAGGGGCAGTATTTCCTTTCTCCAAACTCTAGAAGGAGATAGTACAGAAAGAGCTTGCATTCCTTTTTTCCTATATCCCTGTTGTTACAGAAAATGAAGGAATCAAATATTTGTGTACAAGGAAATAATGAGATTTATAATTTAAAATACTTTTTTGTATACATCTTAGGAGAAATCCAATCGGTGTAGAGTGAAGTTCTTTGTAAATTTTGGTTTTGTTTTTTAGCACCTGCATTTCTATTGTAATTGAAATTGAGCCAGCATTAATATAAAATCAGGAAAATTCATTTTTTCAAGGAAGTTTTTAAAGAGTATATGCTGAACTGCATCAATGTCACAACTATTTTGAGAATATATTATAGCATGTTTGAAACCATATACTTACCTTACTTGTGGAAGTATGCAAGATTATTCTGAACCTGAATATTTAACACATTATAATATTTTAGGGAAGAAACCACATATATACCCTTATTTCAAGGAAGAACCCACATATATACCCTTATTTGCATAGTTTTAAGTACAGGTCAGGCAAGACACTGTTTAAATCCACGAGAAAGAGTTTCTCTTCATGTGCCTATTTCTTCATTAAGAAATTAATAAGTTTGGCCACATTGTTCACTAAATTCTCTTCAGGTATTAGTATAATATTGGAATGAGTATTAAACAGCTAAATTATGAAAATTAAGTGAAGAAGTTTTTGAAAGGTTCTCTACAGTTCTTTGGTAGAATCAATGGATCTCAAAAGTTAATTGTTTTTGCTTACATCTTTTGTAAGAAAACAAGTGCAGTTCATTCTGCAATATGCATTTTAATGCTAATGGAGAATTATGACTATGTTTGTGTTATTGTTACTCTGCTTTCAAGGTATTTCCATTTAGTCTAAGTAATATTCATGCAATTTTCATGTACATTAACTTATGGATGAATGTCAGAGTTTGTGCTATAAAGGGTTAAGTGGCTGGATACAGGTACCTCTGGCTGTGTTGGAAGAGAGCCTGTGCAAGATAGCAACCTAGTTGAGACAGCAAAGGACAGGGCTGTTCCCTGTTCTTTTCCAGAGACATGACATGCTGACCTTAGGGATCAAAGAGTTCTCTTTGTGGACAAAATGTACTGTTTGGAAAAGTCTTTAAACTGACTCCCGAAGGCCTGCCATGTTCTTGCACTTGCCTTAGCATGAAGTTCTGCTGTTTGAAAATCAAATAAACATAGCTTGCTGATAGAAGTTCTTTATCTAACCCTTAAAGAATCATGAATTTTGATAGAGGGTTTTGATCTTCCTGAACAGCTAAAAATCAGACAATTTCTCTTTTATTTTGGTCATTCACTTTTCTACTAATTCAGAGGATTAGTGCTGGGCGAAGATCCTAATATATGTATATGTGTAAAATGCTTATGTTTCAGTGTTGAAATATATGTGTTTATTTTACTGAGGCACAGATGGTTTGTAACTCTTTGATCAGATAATTCCAACATTTTTACTAACGTGTACCTTCAATATTGACATGATAACGTTATTACTTTTTGTACTATTTGTCTTTTGAAACAAAGCAGTGGAAATTCTGGAATGGAAAAATATAGACAAAAAATAAGATATTTCAAAATTACTGTACTATGTAATTTCCCAAATTGAGTTGAAATAATATAGGCAATATGTGCATATACTTATACATACTAAAATTTATATTGTTCAATCATATTTATATATGCATTTAAAAAAATCATGAGCATAGAATTTTTTCTGCAAATACTGTGTTTTAATAATCACAAATCACTTAGGAATTTAGCTACTTTGGAAATAAGCATGCATTTATTTTCTCTTAAAGCTTGCAAAAGTAACATAAATTTCAAACTTTACAAGCTCCACAACTGAATAGTATCACCATAACTACAGAGATGACTTTTCAGGGTTAGTCACAATAATTTCAACAATTGAAAGCTAGTCCCTTAACTCTTTGTACCTTGAAATGAACTATGAAATATTATTCTTAATTTTTATCAATGACTAACGTGCACCTCGCACTAAGAAATTGACAAAATAATTTTGTAAACTTATATATGCAGATAGATATATATCTATATAGATATATATGTATCTATGTATATGCATAAAATTTCATATCAATGTGAAAGTAACAGCTAGAAAATTCTCACAAATTATTAAAAGATACATTACTGTACTCTCAATTTTGTTCTATTTTTTTGATTGGGATATACTTTTAAACAAATATGGGACAGTAATGTGTATATACATTTTTGATAAGATTTTAGAATTATTATGATTTTTATATTCATCATTTAATGTGAAGGTTGAGAAAGCTCAATTCAGAGCATTTAGAGATACATATATTTTAAATACTAACTGAGAAAATTGAAAATCATAAGAAAATGTTTTGTCAGTGTTCTATATAGAATTGTGTTAGTATCATATGTATAAGTCCTTATTGTACATGTGGACTCTCAAAAGTAGATTTAATGGGTTTTATAAAAACTATTAAAGAAAATTATTTTATTATATTAAAGAAAATTACTTTATTATATTTACTGTATTATATTAAAGAAAATTACATAAGAAGGCATATGCAAGTTCTGTGTCAAAATCCCAATGCTTTCCCTTGCAGAATTATTATTTCTTGCAGTACTCTAAACAGCACATGATCATATGGTCCCACCCCACCCTATAACATAAAACATACACAAAGAATTCTAAGAATGTTTGATCATTTCATATTCCTATCATTTTGCCTAAAATATCAAACTCTTCTAATGCTACAGTCAAACAAGGTCACTTCCAAGAACACAGGACATAGAGTGAAATTTAAGTATAATATCAGGTGATTTATTAGGATCACTAAGAGTGAAACCTGAGGATACCAGTGTGGTCACCTCCTGACCTCTTTGGACAAGAGCATTCATGATTATGCTTACACTGGTTAAGTAGCTACACTCTGTGATCTACATCAGGACTTTTCTACAACTTGCTGTAAAAATGTAGGACTAGAGTCCTATCAGCACTGTGAAGCCTCTTCTGAAACTGTTCATTCTGTATTGCCTTATACCTATATACAAAGATAGATCAATCAAAACTTAAAACATAACTCATACAATTCAAAGTAAATAAACACTATTAACTCCTCTTTATGAGGACAAACAGAACCTAGAGGAAAGTTGAAATTATATCACGGAACCTAAAGGAACTAAAAGTTATAAAAGTTTGCTTGTTCTCTTAGTTTAATACCTGCAATTTTTCACCAAGGACTGACATGGCATTTTAGTCATCTGTTTTTCACATGACTTTTTGAATTAGTATCAAGAACTATGGTAATGAAAGAGGTCTAGTACTTACAACTAGCTTGAAATAGATTTAAAGATCAAATGATACAGTAGTATTTCTTGAATGCTGAAATACTGGGTATTTTAAGACAAGTTTTGAAGGTATGAATTACATATACTTTGTAATTTATTATTTTTGAATGTATAACTCAATGATTAAGTGTATATCCCATAAATATTGTGATCTTAGTGTATATGGAGTCACCTCATTTTTTCTCTTGACTTAGTTCACTTTGCATTCCTATAACAAATTACTTCTGACATAGAAAATTTTAATTAAAAGAAGTTCTATTTACAGAACATATCCATGGTTAGAAACTCAGAGAAGAATGAACTGCTGAAACTATATCACTTGAAATTGTTGAAATGTTCAAATTATATCACTTGACCCTATTGAAGAGGAGTTTGTTTTAAAAGGTGTTTTATTTTATCTAAGTCATACAATATTTATAATTTATAAAACACTCATTAAATTAATGGTCTTTTACTTTTCAATGTATTCTCTCCCACCATAGTGCCCTTCATGTGATTGTAGGGCAATGTCTTGGACAATCAAGTCCTTTTGGGAAAGTCTTATTTTCATAAAAAGTAGAGGATGTTTGAATAGTCTTTTGGGACCACTGTGTTGGGCCTCAGGTGAGACAGGTGTACATAAAGGTATGGGCATGTCACATAAGAATTTCCTCATCTTATGGCCAAGAAAGTGTCAGTGGAAGGAGAAGAGCTAAGTTGCTAATCTTCTCTACATTGGTTGAATTCAATGAAATCTTCCTTCCACTTTACCTTAGCTACAAAAGTTCTACAACCTCCTGATGTTGTCATGGATAGAGGGGCAAGCTGTGAATACACAGACTTATGTGGACAACCAAGCCAAGGCTACAGCATTCCTGCATCTTTCATAAAGCTGTTGATGTGGACTAGACAGATGTTTCATTGACATTACATGAAAACCTTGTTTGGATAGATCTTGCTTCACAAGCTTAATTCTTTCCAGAGACATGATTGTAACCCAAAGCACTAAAATATCAAAGTGAATTTCCTCTTGATAAATAAAAGGATCACATAAGATTAATTCCACAGCCCTAAAATAACAATAACAGTAGTTTTATACTTATTATATATTTATAATAAAAACATTATGTAATACAAAATGTGAAGACAATGAAAAAATTAACCTACAATGAACTTTAATGCATGTAGCACTAGTGTGAGGCAGACTTGAGACAGGAGGGTGATTCCATAGGTTTACTTTCATTATCACTACAGGAATCATGATTATCTACTGACCCAGTGTACTCTCTTTCTTTTCATGAAATTTAATGGAGAATCTATAATGACACTTTCTTTTGCCTCCTTTTTAGAGATTTCAAAGAAATGCAATGTTGCATTGTAGTAAACAGAACTCTCACCTTACTACAGCCTCTTCTGGTCGACGCTTCTCTTTAAAACTTTGCACTGCTTCACTGAATTCCACATATCACTGATGTGATTTGAATTGAGGGAGTCTTTTGTCTCATTCTGTTCCTCTTTTGCTGATGAGATCTCTTCGACGACATCTTGGTTTTGTGAGAGGTTCACCAATAATGCTGCAGTCGAAGGAAAAACCATTGTCTCTTTTGAGTGACATTCAGCATCATGTAATACTCAGATTGCAAGACATCACTTCCTGATCACATTAAAGTTTATTAGCAATGTGAGGTGAGCTTGTGAAATAATCACAGAAAAAATTCTTCAAACCATTATTGTTTACAGAAAATTGTAATTCTTTCATATCCACTTTTGTCAAATAAACAGTAACTCTTTAAACGTGTTATGCTACCTAGCAGTTTCTAACTTAAGTCATTTCATGACTAACTGAAATTAACTGTTTAATGAAATCAGTGAAATGATGTGGTAGCACAGATTGCATGGTTTTACACTGTTATATAATACACATTATTTTAATACTTTCCAATGTTTTTTATGAGAATATGCCATAAGTCTTGCTGACATTTACATACCTTTTTTCTTAACCTGTGTATCTTCATGTGAACAGAATTTGTAAGTAACAACTATTTTAATTTTTACTGCAGTGATGTAATTGGTATTTTGGCTTGGAACCAAATGTTTTATTTCCATTTAAGTAATGCAGAAATTATCTGATGTAATCATTAATCAAAGCAAGCAATGATGAGAATTGCTTTATATAATAAATAACAAGTGAACAAGCCTCAAATATTGATGTGGATTGAAATTTATGTGTACTTAATAACATCACCAACTCTTGCAACTTGTCATGTTTGGGCTGCTGTTCAAATTAATCCTTGCCCTCATTCTTCACCTTTGTCCTTCCCATATAGACTTTGATGCGAATTTCTGCTAATACCAGTGAGGAAATCTCTCAAGAAAGTAATTATCTAGTAAGGATACTCAGCAAGATTTTCTGCTTCTCTTGGTTAAAGGTTACCATAGACAGTTAAAAATTTGCATTTCCATGGGAAATTATGCTACATGCTTGAAAAAATTTTCAGTTTTATATTGATGCCATTAGACATGTAAAAACAGCTTGTAAGAAATATGGTAGCAGTTTAGATAATAATGCTTGCTTTCTGCTTATTCCTCACAATAACATTTTATAGTTTCCATTTGTTCACTTGATTGCCAAATCCCATGCATTTACTTTCACCTCAATTTAAAGAACATCATCTGTCTAGAACACTGCCTAGAATACTGAATTGATATTATAAAAGCTCATTCTTAAAAAATAAATGAGTAAGTATAATTCATTTTACACATTAAATAAATAAATTTTAATAATACATGTATGTGTCATAACAATGTACTTTAATAAGAAAAAACAGTAATTCTTTTTAATTGGTTTTTTGCTTCTATTCTTTCTAAATTTTATGCAAGTTAATTACAATTGATTTTTATAGATTTTGCAGATACATTTGAATAAATTATTTGGTTATAGTTTCATATCTAATGCTACATTAGTGTGTTTTAAACACAAATAATTATTAAATTAGCCAACATACAATTAAACCTAATTTGTTTTCACTTTAAGTGATAATAACATATAAATTCTAGACATTTTGAGATCCATAAAATATTCATACTCCCATCCCAGTAAAACTGATGCTGTGGGGGGTATTCGCTATTGCTTAAAAAACTGGACAATTTATTCAGTGATCTTTGATTCTTCAACTGAACTTTCACATTGTTTATAAGTCATTCTTAGTGAATATTTCTACCCACAGGTTCTAGTAAAACATTTACAATTTTAACATTGCTTTTTATATGTTTATAAATTATTTTGCACACTATGTATTATATAAAGACAAAAAATATTACAACTGAAATATTGTTTAAAACTTCTTAAGATAAAAAATTTGTGCTTTCTAGGGAAGCACATTTCTTTAAAAATATCATTAAATTGAGCATCTAAATTTCATCAATAACTTAGCTCCTAAAGCAAAAGATTTTTATGTGTTTATTGTTGAAATCTGAACAATGCATTTCTGAAGAGCTTTTCAATAATATCAGAAATTTCTTCCATAGTTTTTGAAATAATCGGATATGATAAAATATTTTTTATGAAAATTGTATGTGTAGTGACTGATCCATTTCTTAAGAATGTGTTCAAAATCATCTTTACACAAAAACACATAGGAAACTTCAAGATACTGAATTATTGGGATTAGAAAAATGCAAACTCATACTGTCAGGACACAAACCTCAGGAGTTCTCCAGTACTTCAATCCAGAATTGTCCTATTCATCCAGTGACTGAGTTTTATGAGCTATTCCAGAACTTTCCAACAACTTCTCTAAGATAGCACACTGGGTGTTGAGACAAGAAATCAGTACCACTTAACAGGTACCATTATGTACTATAAAGCTTCTTTCTTAACTTGAGTTCATTTACCATTTTCTCCACTTGTATGCAAAGACAAAATAATGAGGAAGTTAAACTCTGGCTCAGTTTAGAAGAAACAGACAACATGAGCAGTCTAGTTGGCCATCAAATCCCACATTCACTGCACCATGTTCTTAGTGGGCATGTCTGGTGGTCAAGTGGGCATCATTCACATATACTAGTATCATTCACATATCACTGCTTTCCCAGCCATGCTCAATGCAGAAGCCATGGTCCTTGGAGACTTTCACCCAGATTACCAAAGTTTCCTTGGGAGGCCAGAAATGTTCTACTAATTGTGTTGTGTGCTGAGCTATGTGGTTGATGCCTAAAGTACAGTGGAGTGCTAGGAAATTTGAGATACCAAGAACATTGATAATCTATTGAGAAATGGTACATAGAATTTACAGAGCAAGTATAAGAAAGAGGACATATGGACTTCAACTGAAAGTACAATAACCTTAGAGGAACCCAAGGACTTTGAAACTAAAAACTCAATAAAATGATTTCCAGGTGCTAGATGTGAGATGTAAGATTTAATGTCTTCTTTGTGATATTTTGTTTCAATGATTTTCTTTTGCCCTGGTCTGACATTTTGGAATGGAAATGCTTACCTTATGACATTTTATGCTGGACTATGTTATCATTTTGATTTTTACAGAGACAGCTAGGAGTTTCTTTGAATGTTACAGGGCACCTCAGATTTCAAATTTTTAGCAATGTTAGAAGTAACTGTTAGATGTGAATTAAATGCATTTTTTACAATGAGACATACAAAAGTATTTAGATATCTAGGAGAGGAGTGTTATACTTTAGTTCTAAAATATCCTTCTCAAATTCTTATATGTATTTGTTGGGAGTCATTTAAACTGGAAATTAAACACAAGGGCATGGCTGCAGCATGAGCACTGCATTGCCTACTGGAGAACAAAGAAATATCTGAAATGGCAAGATAAGTTCTCCTCCTGCCTGTCTTTCAATGTAGTTCATTTTGTCAATATTCTACCTGTAACTATGTCTCCTCATGGGCCAGGGTTATTCTTAGAAACCCCCTATCTTGCAATAAGTATTCGTTCTTACTAATACACATCCAGATTTACAGAGACTGTTTTTTTCAAAATTGGATACCTCTTATCCATTGACAGAAACCTCTGAATTTTCACATCTACATTTCCAATCCTTTTCAGGTTCCTTGCACAGAGAGACTCAAAACTTTTAATACCACATTCTCAGGGAGAATCAGAGAAGTAGCCTCATTTGGGATGCCAATTTTACATATTAGGCATTTTCCTACTTCTAGGACAACATATCTATGATAATTTAAAGCTGAAAAGTTTTTTTTTTTTGGCCCAGAGAATAAAAATGCTGCATGAGTTCTCTGAATCCAAGGCAGAAATGTCGTGATCATAGTGTGTTTCTCAATTATTGGTAGCTGGAATATAGACCAGAGAAATAGTTCAGAGGGAAAGTGATGATGGGCCACACAGATCTCAAGAAAGCACATCATTACTTACAGTGTCTTGGCCAGAAATATACTTCACAAAACCTGTGGGCGGATATGTAAGTTTTTCAAGGTCTGACCAAGACCTGTTTAAATAAGCAGCACTTGTAATTTTTAAAATTAAATGAAATGTAAAAGTAAAATCTCAAATGACTCAATTCTTTCTTGCCATATGTTAGTCAATTTATAACAAAATACCAAAGATACTCAGATTCTTAGTAGGAAAGATTTATTTTTGGCTAAAAGTGTTGGAGGGTTGAATCTATAGTAGTCAGCTATGACTACTGATGTTAAGCCTTCTTCTAGACAACACATAATTCTTCGAGTATGTGGCAGAGGTAGCTTACTACCTCATAGTTGAGAAGCAAACACAACATGGAGAAGTAAAAATAGGGAGTTTATATCTTTTTCCATGTCTCATTCTCAATGACAGCTGTCTCCTACTTAATCCAACCTGCTAGAAGTTTTACAATATATTAAGAGCACAAAATACTGGAAAGCCTCCAAAACTTAGCCTTTTGAAGGACATCAAAACTAAATGTAATAACATTATAAAATATTGAGGAACCAAAACTTCATGTGTAGTATATCAAAGCCATATCCTCATTTTTGTGTTCATTATTTTTTTTATACTGGGGATCAAACTCTTGACCTTGCACTTGTCAAACAGGTACTTAACACCACTGAGTTAAATCCCCAGCATTCATTACATTCTATATTCATTATTTAATCACTACATAAATATCACATCGAATTTTGAACATAAAATGTACATTTTCTATTACTAATATTTTGCACACTCTTAAAGGAAAGCAGAAGCAATGAACACTTTCCAATTATTGACCACAAAATATTAGGGGCTGGGGGTTTAGCTCAGTGGCATAAGCACCTGCCTTGCAAGCAGGCAGTCGTGACTTCGATCCCTGGTAAAAAGGAAAAAGACACACACACACACACACACACACACACACACACACACACACACACAAATTATTGTTTAGGGTATTCTTAAAAGTTTCAATTGTAGCCTGATTACATTGGTTAACAGAAGAAGATTACTGTACTACTTTTATGAGTTTCACAGAGACTCAAGGAACTCTGTGAATCTAGTAACTGGCACCCTGTAAATCAATTTATGTTCAATATTTTATTTCACTTGCTACTTGTCTAAACCAGTCTTCACTTAATCTTGTGGATGATTTTTCCCTCTGGAGAGGTAATAAGAAAGCTTTACAGACTGATGAATATCTACAATATTTTTCCACATTCTGTAACATTCTTATGAAAACAATACAACCTTGATTTGAGAAAATTTCAAAATTGTACAAAAGTATACCATGAATAGAATTTATTCATATTTCCCATTGCTGGCAAACAGTCTCAGGCTCAATTACTCACTGTATAAATAAAATACTCAGACATCAAAAAATATTGACAAGCGAGCTTATTTGCACAGAAGTGAGCACTGTATCCCTAAGTTGAGGTCACAAGCAGACAGAGAGGCAGCAACAAGCTTCTTGCCTATCCTAACACAGGAGAAGCAGTTGATCATTGTCCCCATTGACAGAGTGCAATATTGAAAATCTATCCTTTTTGATTATTCCAAGTGGGATTAGGTAATATAATCAATAATCTGATGAAAGCTAGCTTTGATAAGCACATAGTCACCAAATGATTTGTTTTCTGGATTTATTTAGGTGATAGTTCAGACTTTTTTATTGTGATGTAACATGTTCATCTAT